CTAATTCCTGGCTTGGGAAGCTTTATTTTCTTTGGGGTTTGGTTTTTAAAAAAGGCATGGAGTGGCAAAGCTAGGTCTAGACAACAGATGCAGAGGTTTGTGGTCTTGGACTATAACCTCCTAGAATTCTCCAGAGTTTGGGGATTTGGGAGTTGTAGTTCAGAGGCACACCTTTGTGCCTATCTCATCTAGACTGTTCTGCTGGAGACTGGGCTTGCACAAAATCAGCAGCGTTTTGCGCACAACAGTGCACGCACATACAGAGAGAGAGGACATGCATGTGCCTGAGAACTAGAAAACCCACTTTGCAGAGAAGGGGAACAACTGTGAAGCCACAAAACTGGCTGAAATTGGGAACAGAGCTGCAAGCTAGTTTTCTGGGTATTGGGTCGCGCCTTTAGGCTAGGGAGGGTCTTGTTTTAAGAAATGTGTGTTTAAAAGCACTTTGGGTTATTCAGTAGCTCTTCACAAAGTGTAACTGTGTGTAAAAGAGCTAGCAAAGAGATCAAAGAATACTCAGCAGGATTGCACCCCCCCAACCCATATGTGTGAGGGACTGGTTCCAAGCCTCATGGATTATTATAGTGAATGCTATACATAGCATGATCTTTGGCTGCCTATAGTAGCCAGTTCTGGCAACTTCACCTTTAGAAATGTATCTCTAGGATTTTTCTTTTAATATTTTCAGACGGTGGAAAAGTGAAAAGTGAATCCACAGATACTGATCCTGTGGATCGGTGGGCCCTACTCTACTGCAGACATAGAAAGGAAGTGGGCATGTTGGCATATCACCCTAACCCATTGTCTTAGGCAGAAGAGAGGGGGAAAAACATAAGTTCTAGAACAGGAATGGAAAACTATCTCTTTCCAGATGTTGATGAACTGCTGGTTCCATCATCCTTTATTTTAGTTAGTCCAGCTAGGGCAGATGAGAACTGGAGTCTAATGATATCTGGACAAAGTGTGTCGGAAAATTGCTACTTTGTATTAACATCCCCCAACCAGCATGGTTACTGGGGATTTTGGGAATTGTAGTCCAAGAACTTAATGTTTCCAAACATTGCCTTTGGAGGTCATGGGTCCTCCATCCCTCATCTGAGTAAACGAATGTTCTCTGCCTTTACCTTTCCTTTTTAACAAAGGGCTTTTCTTCCCATTCATAGCGGAACGATGGGCTTTTCTATAAGTCAAGGAGCAGGACGACCACCTGGAAAAACAGAGCCTTCCATAAACACACGAATAACCAGGAGAACAGTTTCACGTCTTCCAGCAAGCTTGATTACATTTGCCAAAATGCAGACATGGCAAATCATGTTGGCCTTCCTGCCCCTCTTGGTTGGCGCTGCTGCCTATAATGAAGATCGCTGGCCTTCCTTTGATGAGATTCCAGCTGGTCTGAGATCAGAAACGTCAGGTCTTTCACCATTCCAGAACTCCACAAGTGGCCTAAAGATGGGCAGGCAAAATGTGAGAAACCATTCCAGAGAAGGGCATCCAGCTTTGCAGGAAAACCTACATACCAGAAGTATATTCATTAATGATATTAAAGCTGCTGATCAAGCTCATACTGTGAATACTCGCTTGAATTCAGAGAAGATTTCTGCAAATACTGGCCTCGAAAGTGGGACTCTCCCAAGTGCAGACTCTTCTGTCCTTCTTCAGATGGACCATAACAGCTCTCAAGTTCTCCATCACACAGCTTCTCTCACACTAGCTAGAACTGCAGACGTTTCTGTTAATCTTTCTTCTAACAGGTTCAAAGAACCAGAAGACAGCATGACATCTTCCGTTGGGCCACAAGGTATGGAATCAAGGGAAATGGCTTCCAGAAAAAGCACTGATCCTACCTCTTCCCCAGCATCATCCCTTCTAGACCTTAAGAGAACCTTACACTCCGATTCAAACACAGCACACCAAACTGTGCTAGGCCATGATTCTGCTTCTCTAAATATAGATTCCTCTATTGCCAACACTGTCTTAACTTCAAAACAGCTGTCAGCAACTCATAGGTCTTTTAATCGCCAGCAACTTCAATCCCAGAACACCCTCTCGTCCTGGCAGACACTCATCCCTACAACTGTAGAGTCTCCTGATCTTTCTGCCTTACCAGCTTCAAGGGATGGAACCAGTCGTGATCCAGAGCATTACAAGGAGGGTCTTCTGAGTTCAGACTTTAATTATGGAAGACATACAGCCAAAGTCCTACATGCCCGTGGTCAATTATCTGCAGTTCCTCAAGGTAGTTCTGTAGAGAACATCAGGCAGTCATCCAAAGCAACTGCTGAGTTGCCTTCAAGAAAGGAAAACATACCTGTAGCATCTCATAGTTCAATGGTTGAATCCTTTCTTGACTTGGCTAATAGCAGCATTACCCAGCTGGCCAAAGTGAATCCTACTCCTGTTCCTCATTCAGATGGAGTTGGGTCAACAGGTTTTAGTTTTTCTCTTGCCGCCGACCAACTGGATCCTGATACTGCAGCTTTCAGCACTCCTACAGAAGTCAACATGTTTCCCAGACAGAAAAGTTCTGAATTGAAAGAACACCTTACAAGCTCTGACATGACATCTCTACCTCTGTATCTTGATACTACAAAAGAGCACAAGGACTCGTCTCTGGTAACTTATGACATGATGAGCACTTCTCTGGGTGAAGGACCTAAACTGGAAATGAAAGAAGGTATTTCTCCTGTAGGAGAAGACCATACTGATCCTCGTGTTGTTTCTACCCCTGATATCGCAAATGTTAAAAGTGGTGCCACCAGCTTTGGCAGCGGCCTCCAGTCTTGGCAGCCTCCAACTCTTCTACCTCTAAGCACACTGAATCATAGAGATGTGAGAACCGAGTATAGTGTTCCTCTTGTTCAGGTCAGTCCATCCAAAACAATGAGCAGCACTGTTAGTTATAAGGAGACAGTGTTCACTGAAGTGTCTAGAAGAAAGGAAGAGATCACAGCAGCTGCGGTAGAGGTGGCCGCCTTCTCTGAGTTCCCACTTACAACTTCTTGGGACACTCCAGCGGTGAGACTGAGTCCCAGCTTAATTTCTGAAGAGCCTGAAGTTTGGCTGGGGGGTCAGCATTACACTTTGCCTCGGAAAAGGAGTGAAACGACAACACCCACCCCTCTAGATTCTTCCTTTGTTCCCACATCTAGGATTATGTCGTCATCTAAGGAACCTAAGCCAGAAATGCTGGTGGTCTCCTTAACTACAAAGAAGGCTACTGGCACTATTGCACACACCCTTACACCAGAAACGGATGCTGTACTTGCATCTCACCCGTATTTAAATAGGGAAGAGGTGACCCTCCCGACTGGACCTGCTTTTGCTGGTTTGGCACATGCCAGTCTGCAGACCGGAAGCCCCACCGGCAGTCCTGTAGCAGAGTTTCTCAGTGAGACATCCCCTGAATGGAACTCTACCACCCCATCATCTTTATATGATGTAGCATCTCTTCTGAATCTCCCAGAACCTGAGGAATCTTCAGTTGTTCCAGCTCACAGCTCCCTATCATTGAGTTTTACTTCACTTGGCTCCACCAACAGCAGTCTTCCGGCATCGAATCTGAAGATACACACTGAACGCCTAATGGCTAGGAAAGAGCAAGTGGTGTCAGTGGTCACAGAGATGCCCTTGTCTTTGCAAGAAGAAGTGTGGAGGTCCAGCTCAACCTCTCCAACAACAGCCAGTACTGTGTACAGAGGAGCGCCACTTCTCCCCACCAAGACGCTTGATCATGACTTAGATACCGCTACTGTAGCACCCACTGAAGTTGTCCCACTAACAACTGCTGTAACATCTTTGGACATTCATCGCCCGCGTTATGCTGATTCCTCTGGCTCAAAAGCTCCTGTCTATACATCTATCTCAGAGGCACAGTCTACCAAGGTAGTCACTGTGTCCTCCAGTTCAACAGCTCCGTTGACCGACCAAAAGAGTCTTCCCGTTGACGTGAACTCTATGCCTTGCAGCAACATCTCATGCATGGTACGAACTCCTCCAATTCCTTCTCAGCCTTCCATTTCTTACCAACCTTCCTTAACTAAAAAGGTTTCAGCGAGTATGTTAGTCTCAGCACAAGGTAGAAAGAATGTGACCACCACTGTCAACATCTCTGAGATGACCATTCTCAAGGAGATCAGCACAATGACTCTACTGTCTGGGAAAACTGTGACTCTAATCCAGGGAGGTTATACTTTAGAGGAGCGAGTGTCGAAGTTCAAGAATCCAGTAATGAGCCGGTCAGCGAGGAAAGAGCATCTGACCCCCTTAGGTATATCTGCATCGCCGGTTCCAGCGGTACATATTCTGCCACTGTGGTTCCGACTCACTGGAATTAATTATACAGAATCTTTGGAGAATAAGTCCTCAGAAAGCTACATGAAACTGGAGAAAGAAGTAAAGTTAACAGTAAGTACTCTACAGATCGAGCTTCCAGTGTTTCGAAGCTTCGCAGTCTTAAATCAAGCAAACAGCAGCAACAAAAACATTTTGGAATTGATTCCTGATTAAACTTGGACGCACTTTTGACATTAGTACAACAATAGTGGCTTTAATTTTAATGTAATGTAATTTAAAATGGCTAAATTCACAGAATTACCAAATATTTGGGGGACAGTTTACAGTGATACCGTGGTGGCACTGTGGGTTAAACCACCGAAGCCTCTGTGCTGCAAGGTCAAAAGATCAGCAGTTCAAGTCCATGCGATGGAGTGAGCTCCCGTCGCTTGTCCCAGCTCCTGCTAACCTAGCAGTTTGGAAGCATGTAAAAATGTGAGTAGATAAATAGGGACCACCTCGGTGGGAAGGTAACAGCATTCTGTGTCTAGTCACGCTGGCCACGTGACCACGGAAACTGTCTTTGGACAAACGCTGGCTCTATGGCTTGGAAACGGGGATGAGCGCCGCCCCCTAGAGTTGGACCCAACCGGACTAAATGTCGAGGGGAACCTTCGACATTTAGTCCAGTCGGGTCCAACTCTAGCCAGAGGTCACTGCCGAACCCCGAGCCAGAGGTCACTGCTGATCACTACAATCCCAAAATATGGTCGGATTTGGAGTTTGGCTTCCAGATCTTTTTCCACACGGAAAGTTTCTTGGGAGGTACCAAATTGCCATTTGGTGGATGAAATGGTCATTTGTAGATTGGGTTGGTCAAGGCCGTGAAACATATTAATAGACTAAAACATGAAGAACCCAACAATATAAGTGATAATGCATGGCAAACCAAAGATTAAATGCCTGCAGGAAAAAGAAAATCTTCGCTTGATAGTTTAGGGGAAGGCATGAGGAACTTTAGTATGTCCAAAAGCCAGCTTTCTACTCTTAGGATCTTCTGGGGACTGTGTGGACTGCCGAAAATGATAGTGGTGGGAATCTAGAAGCCTCCAGAGGTTTGCTTCCAGTTTTGGAAACTAGGTAATTGAGGATGTTAAATACTGTTGCAGAGTTTCGAATTTCTGTAGAAATTCTTTTTGCGACGCATTAGAAGTAGAGAGACCCACAGCTTCATGTTCCCCAGATAGTCCACCCCTTTCTCATTAACTGGCACTTATGGTCTCAATAACTCGCTCAGAGACCTTTGTAAGAGGAAGAATAAAAATGTTTCATTATTTACAGTTGTAAGTAGATTGACATCAAACAAACAATACTGCTTCCAGCAGACTAAACTGCTAAAGGGGAGCATTCAGCTAAAGAGACAGGGCTCTCTTTGAATTCAAAGGTGAGAAAAGAGTATACAGTGGTGCCCCGCACAGCGAGGTTAATCCGTTCCGGATTAACCTTCGCTGCGGGAAACATCGCTGTCCGGGAGGGAAAAAGCCATAGAAACGCATTGAACTTTGTTCAATGCGTTCCTATGGCTTTCAAACTCACCGTTCAGCGAAGTTCCTCCATAGGCGGCAGCCATTTTCGCGCCCTCCCCTCGCCATTTCGGGGCTTCCGCAGCGTTTTCGCGCACTCCCCTTGCTTACCAAGGGCGCAAAAACGCTGTGCCCCGGCCCCTTTCGGCTGTTCCGGCGGCCATTTTTGACCCGCCGAACAGCTGATCGGCGGGTCGCAAAGCGAAGGTCGGTAAGCGAGCAGCTTACCGACCTTCGCTCTGTGATTTTCGCCCATTGGGGCCATCGTTGTGCGATCGCTTTAGCGATCGCAAAAGCGTCACCGTAGAGCGAATTCATCGCTCTGTCGTGCGCTCGTTGTGCGAGGCACCACTGTATTTCCCTGCTTTAGCCACAATTGTGTCTCCTTATGTTGTAGGAGAGGTATGCTAAGTCATTGGATCTGAGCCTTTGGCCCTTCAGATGTTTTGGATGTCAACTCCCAAAATCTTTGACTATTTGCCGTGCTCCCTGGGGTTGCTGGAAGCCGAGTCTAAACATCTGGATAGCCAAAGGGCAGGGTGCACTTAGAGGTTGCTCTGGCTTTTTCATTTCATTGCCCACCCATTCATAGGAAATTACCATTCCGTGCACCAAATGACAATCCCGTTCTGCTTCTATTCTGGTTGGGTTTGGCAATCCACAAGAATGGGAGGAGGGATGTTTTCCATCCAAACCCTTGGCCTTAGCCTCAGTTTGGCCAGAGAGATTGTGCCTGTGTAGCAATGAAGATGGTTGTTTCAAGGAGAAAATGGCAGTGCTTCAGTTGGTCTACACTGCACCTTGACCTCAGGCTACAGGAAGGCCAAATAGCATCATGGGTTAGCTCTCTGGGTGCAGGCATCTAAATGTTGTTCTCTCTGAACTCTACATTCTCAACCATCCTTTGGACTAAGCGTCTTTGAACAACAAACCTAATGTTCTACTTTCAGCTCAACAAGATGCTCTCTAACTATGAGAACTTCCTTCAAACGAACGTTCTTCGTTTCTTGTGAGTATTGAAATGATCCTCTGTATTTTTTTCCCTATGGAAAGCTATTAGGTACAGGTCTGTAGCCTGTAGATTTCAGAAGTTGGGAAGAATTCCCTTAGATTTCTGCAAGCTTTAATCAAGAAACTTAAGTCCTGAGAGGTGTTTTCAAGTTCTTGAGTTAAAGAACTCCAACTCCAGCAGCCATTGTTGTCTTGTGCAGGAGATGGTGAAATGGGCGGGTAGGGTTAAGCTCTGTGGGAACTACAAGAGACTAGGGCTGTGGTAATTTTATGTAAAAAAAAAAAAACCCACAAACTTCTGGTCAGACACTACCACACCCACAATCCTTTGCAATTGGTCCATCACTGTTCATTACACTCCACTATGTGTCCATCCATTTGGCATTAAGCTAGGGTTGCCAGATACACGGGTACTAAAAGGAAGACATAGAAAGGCAAAAAGGAGGACAAAGAAGGACGTATTGAATGTTTCATTTGAATCCTTCCGGATTAAACCTGCAATCAATACAATTTTATTACAATAGCTGCCAATAAATGTCTCTTAGTGAACCAACCAAGAAACAGTCATGTTAAAAAATAAAAATAAATTCAATGGAGGCTTTTTTTCAAAATACCGGGAGTGGGCGGACAGGTGGGGGCACGGAAAGCCAGGGGGAAGGGGCTCCTTCCCCCTCTCCCCCTCCCATCCAAAATTATAACATAAAATATACAAAAGCCTGACATTTTATCTTTGCCTGCCTGACGGAGGACATTAGGCTAAAAAGGAGGCCATGTCCTCCGTTTGCCTGACATCTGGCAACCCTAATTAAGGCCCTCTAAAAGCTACCAAACCCTGTTTTAGCCCCCATTTAGGTGTAAATCAGAATTTTCATAGTTGTAGGCCTAGACAGCCCTTGCAAGTCTGCTACTACTGTGTCAGGTGAATTGTGTCTGTCTTGTGGGATTACAGATCAGATGGGTGAGGCAGTCCGGTCTTCTCAGGGTCCTGCTCCTGTGCGTGACAGGATCGGAGTCTGAGTTGGATAAGGACTAAGAGGTCTACAGAAATGGGCGAAGCGATTCTAACATCCTTGGCTTCCCAACAGGAACGACTCCCTGTTTGTTCTGAGCGAGGCGGTGTTCCGGGCAGGGCCCACCGTTCCCACACCTTCTGATACCATCCGGACGATTGTCACGGAGGTGGAGACCAAGAGATTGGATGCCTTCTTTGACTGGAGGATTGACGTGCAATCCCTTCGTTCCAACGGTGAGCATTTCTGGGGCAAACCCTGGCCCAGCAGTGCCAAAGAAATAAGTCTCTTAGGTAGAATTCTGGAAGGTCTTGTCCACAAGCCTACACCTACAAATCTTTTGCTCACCTGGATTAAGGCCTCTCTCTGAGACCGGAATTCAGGAGGTGCCCTCTGGAGAGCCTAAAGGGTAGTGAGATGATGACTCCAAGGATGCAACATGACAGCTTTCTCTTTCATGCATTATGAACAGGAACTAAGGCCGAGAGGGCCACACAGCCTTGGAGATAGGTCTCAGTCCAGGTGAATGAAATATTGGTGTCCGTCGATGTGGTGCTGTTGGCTGGAACTTCCCGAATTCCTGCCTGGGGAGTTCTTGGAGAATTCTGGGAGATGGAATCAAAAAGAAATGGAAAAGTCAAATGGTACATCCATGTTGATTCCTCACTGGGAACCCCAGATTTGGTCCAACCTCCAGAAGCTCATGCAGTAGCGAGAGCTGGTGAGCTGATCCAGTGGTGCCTCACTTAACGGCGATAATCTGTTCCAGGAAAATTGCCATTAAGCGAAGACATCGTAAAGCGAAAATAAAAACCCCATTGAAACGCTTTGAAAACGTTTCGATGCATTCCAATGGGCTTAAAACTCACAGTCCAGTAAAGATCCTCCATTCGCTGCCTATATAGTGAGGAATCCGTCCCTAAACACAGTGGGGAGCCATTTTAATTACCTGGCGGCCATTTTGAAACCACCGATCAGCTGTTTAAAAATCATCGTTTTGCGAAGAACCAGTTCCCGAAGCAGGAAACCGATCATCGCAAAGCGAAATTCCCCCATTTAGACCATTGTTTTGCGAGCACAAAAAGATCATCGCAAAGCGGATTTGTCGTAATGTGGGGCAATCGTAAAGCGAGGCACCACTGTATGTAGAACAGGGAGAAATACCAGCTTGTTGCTTTACAAAGAGTGTATTTCTTTTCCTCTAGGAATTAGCTTGAGCAACCTGGAACCAGAGACGTTGACCTTATCTTTCACTGTTCTGGGCCTGAGACCTTGGTTGACCTTGGACTCGCTAGAAAGCCTGAGAAAGAAGGTGATGTAGGAAGCCATGTGTTTTGGCCCACGGGTGTAGGGAACATCCTTTCTGGAACGCTTTCTCCTTGGGTGTGTTACATTGCCTCTTCTGTTTACCTCTTCTGCTAAATCAGATTGACTTGGCTGCACTAATTCATCTCCAGCTCTTTGGGGTGAGTGATGCATCCTGTCTTAAGCCACCAAGCTGCTGGCAGCTGTTAAATGTTGACACTATCCTGCCTTCTTAGGACGGTGGCTCTCAAAGTTGCCTTTATTGCCCAGAATGCCTCTTGAAGAACCCAAATGATCTCCAAACGGATAAAGTAAAACTGGATGGGCAGGATGGAGTAATGCAAAATGAAAGAGGGGGGAAAAACACAGCCAGTAAAGGTCATGTTAAAGCAAGCCTGTTCAAACAGGATCTGATTGGTGTCTAGGCATGGTATAAAAGAAAAGGTTAAGTACAGTGTATATTTGGAAGGAGATGGTGGATGATCTTGGTCTCCAGTGACACATCCTTATATTTGATGATTTTTTCTAGTTTCTTCATTGCTGCCCTTCCTCATCTCAGTATTCTTCTGAGCACCCTAATTAGTTCCTCCTTATTCTCTTGCTTCCCAATCAAGTTATTTTGAAAATTGGGGTTGATTAGATACTTAAAGAGCTTCCTCACTTTGTTTGCCTAGGAATCCTCCAGCCGAGGAATCAAAGGTTAGGTTGTGTTTTTGAGAATTTATCTGGGGCCACCTTCCAGTGGGGGATGGTTCCAAAGGCTAAAGGGTGGGACTCCAAACACTAGCTCCTCCTGTCAGCAACTGTGACTGAGGAAAGGCATTTCAACCTTTTAGAACAGGGGAAATTTCTATAAAATCTGGGGCACTAACCATACAGTGGTGTCGTGGAGAAAGAGCTGGTGCCCACGCTCCTAAACCCAGAGGGCCAGGCTGAGTTGTATTGAGCTGCAAGGCCATATGTTTCCCTGCCCTGCCCTCTGTTAACCATCTTACATAAGGGAGAGTGTGCAGGTGGTAGACTCAGAGAACCCTAGAACTGGAAAGGACCCACCAATTAATTGATTCCAATTCTCTACCAAAGCAGGAAATCCACAGCTAAAGCTAAAGCTGGTAGCCACCTCATTTCTGTTCAAAACCCCCAAGTGAAGGAGAGTCCTCCACCGTCCAAGGCACTCCTTTCCATTATCTATCAGCTCTTCAATCAAGATGTTTTCCTATCCAAGGCACTCCTTTCCACTATCAGCTCTTCAATCAAGATGTTTTCCTAACACTTAAGCACAATCTCCTTTCTCTTATTGTGACTCCATTACTTCAGGTCCTACCTTCTGCAGCGACAGAAAACGAACTTGCGTCGTCTTCTACATAAGAGCCGTTCAAATCCTTGAACATGTATCTCCCATTTAGGCTTTTTTTCCCCTCCAGGCCAAATGTTCCCAGGTCCTTCAGCTGTTTCACATGGAGCTTGTTTAAGTTGCTAGGGAAAAGGGAGTTGGAACTTGACTGTAGGATGCTCAAGCATTCAGCCGTTGTCGTTGAGTGGGAGGGTCACTTCTTGAGGGTTAATATCTGTGAGATGAGAAATGATGTGGAATTAAGACCAAGATTCTTGTCATTGTAGGTGATCTTCTTGCTCGGCGCTCGATACACAGTGCAGAACATCTCACTTGTTGAAATCCGGTACGTGCCTGAGTTAACCCTCCTTCCAGTTTAAGTTTGGTTGTTCATGTGATACTGGAGATCTGAGTAACATGTATTGCTGCAGACAATCTGCTCAGGAAGATGTGGTTGTGAACCTAGACACAAGTTTAAAACTTGATTTAAGTTATACCTGGTCTTTCTGCAAGATTTTCTAATGTGAAAGGGAACTTGTTCTGTTTTTGAGTGAGAACTAAAAGTTAGTCTGGAGTAGACAGAACAATCTGGGGAACGTAGGAGAATATGCTTTATTTCAAATTGGACACATGGTCCATTTACTCCAGTGGTTCACAACTGTGGTCCCCTGATGTTTTTGGAGTAAAACTCCCAGAAGCCTTTCACCACTAGCTGGCCAGGATTTCAGGGAGTTGTAATCCAAGAACATCTGGGGACTCAAGGTTGGGAACCACTGTTTAGTTCAGTTTATGATTATTACAGTCCATGATGAGCAATTACAGTGGTGCCTCGCTTAACGATGATAATCAGTTCCAGGAAAATTGCTGTTAAGCAAAAACATTGTAATCCGAAATTAAAAGACCCATTGAAACACATTGAAACTCGTTCAAAGTTTATGATTATTACGGTCTGTGATGAGCAATTAGACATAATGCAGGTTACATTTATAAGGCAGTCACAGTGCTAAAACAGGGGGAAAGAGTTAAAGGTAAGTTATAGCTTACAACGCCAATCAGCTGTTTAAAAAACATCGTTTTGCGAAGAATTAGTTCCTGAAGCAGGGAACCGATAATCACAAAGCGAAAAAACCCTATTTAAAACATTGTTTTGCAATCACAATTGCAATAGCAAAAACTTCATCGTGAAGCGGATTTGTCGTAATGTGGGGTAATCGTCCAGCGGGGTACGACTGTAAACATAATTCAGGTTACATTTATAAGGCAGTCACAGTGATAAAACGTGGGCAAAGAGTTAAAGGTAAGTTATAGCTTACAATCACTGATTTGGTCCAATGTTGCTGACACTGGCTGGCAGTGGCTATCCAGAGTTTCAAGAAAGGATGTCCTCAACTTGCCTGGAGATACGAGAGATTGAATTTAAGATCTTCCACATGCAACCATGTATTTTCTTTAATGTCTCTACAGCCCTTGCACGGAGGATCGAAAGCTTGTGTTCACAACCTCCTTATGGGCTTCCTAGTGCATCTGTTTGGCAATCATGGGAACAGACAGAGCAGACAAATGCTTTTTTGATCCAGCATTGCTTTCATGATAACGTGCATTAATACAATTTCTGTCACATAGAAATATCGAAGCTGGTATAGATATAAGCGGAGAAATCTACATTGATACAAACATTCATGTGGACATTGGCTGGGCTCTGCAGGCGTTGATGGGGCTTTCCAATGACTCTGTAGACCTCACCTCTCTCTCCATCAATGGTAAGTAACTCCCTGGTCAACTCCTTCTCTGTTTGGCCTGTTTTAGGGGTGCTGGATGGGAACCTATCTCTCTCTCACATGCAATGTGTTCTGTAATTGCAGGATCAAGGCTCAACCTTCGTGTCTTCCCAGTTTCTTTCTTGGTAACCAACAGAATATTTGATGAGAAAATGATGGATCGCTCTTCTGCAGAACATCAGGACCTTGTGAGGGATCTCACTGATGTGGTAAGTGGGAGACACAAATGTGTCATAAAGCAGAAAGCCAGTACAGTCATGCCCTGCTTTACGATTGCCCTGCATTACTACGAAACCACATTACAATGACGTTCTTGCGATAGCTTTTGCAATCGGAAAACGATGGTCTGAATAGGGGTTTTTCGCTTTGCGATTTTTGGTTCCCTGCTTCGGGAACCAATACTTCTCAAAAAGATGATTTTCGGACAGCTGATTGGTGGGTTCAAAATGGCCACCGGGTAAATAAAATGGCTCCCCGCTGTTTTCTGGGACAGATTCCTCACTGCACAGGCACCAAAAATGGCTGCCCTATGGAGGATCTTTGCTAGACGGTGAGTTTCCAGCCCATTGGAATGCATTGAAGGGGTTTCAATGCGTTTCAACGGGCTTTTTATTTTCGCATTACGACGTTTTCGTTCTACAGCGATTTCGCTGGAACGAATTAACGTCGTAATGCGAGGCACCACTGTACTTGGAGGAAGAACCAACCACTAGATCTTTTGCTTGTTATTGTTCAAGTTGAAAGGACCACAGAAACCTTCAGCAACTAAAAGTCAGGCTGCGCCTGCTTTCAGAAGGGACCAGGAGAAGCATGTACATGTTGCCCATATGCTTGCTAGCTATGTACATCCCCTTTTGTCTTTACTTCATTGTCTAAACTTGGAACAAATATCACCAAGTTGGCTTGCTGTCAAGCAGTTTTCTAGGTCTGGCAGTGATGGGAGATTCCATTCGCCAAAGAAGAGAGTTGGTATCTCCCTGAAGTATCTCTGATAAATTGGAAGCTGCCTGTCTTTGTCTTTAAAATGCAAGGGCAGATCTGGACCAGGATAAAACTGGCTTGAGAGGCAACTTTCTTCCTCTTAAACGTCTGGAGCAGAGCGGGTGAGGTTCAGCAAGGCCTTGGCTACTAGCCTAGAAGTAGAATGGTTCTAGAAGGATCAGGGCTTAAATCGATGCCCTTGAAGCATTTTAGACCAGCCTTCCTAATCCTGGTACAGATGTTTTTGATTACAGTCCCATCATTTCCAGCCCATGCTATGAGGTTGGAATCCAGAATCTGGAAGAGGGTCTAAATGGGCAAAGACTTCTCTGTAGGCCAGCAGTGGGGTGGCCAACAGTTGACTTCTTGGGTTGACATGTGAATTGCTCTCTTAAGAAAACACAAGAGGTTAAATCAATGGTTCCCAACTTTTTTTGAATCAAGATCCCCTTTAATAACAGCTAAATAACCAGAGGTCCCCCCACTTTAATAGGGTAAAGCCATCTCTTCTCAGAAAGTAGAGGCCCCCACCCCCGGACAAGCTTGTTTCTCATGCGTGCACATTTGTTGTTGTTGTTTAGTCGTTTAGTTGTGTCGGACTCTTCGAGGCCCCATGGACCAGAGCACGCCAGGCCCTCCTGTCTTCCACTGCCTCCCGGAGCTGGGTCAAATTCATGTTGGTTGCTTCGATGACACTGTCCAACCATCTCGTCCTCAGTCGTCCCCTTCTCCTCCTTCCTCCACACCTTCCCAACATCAGGGTCTTTTCCAGGGAGTCTTCCCTTCTCATGAGATGGCCAAAGTACTGGAGCCTCAGCTTCAGGATCTGTTCTTCCAGTGAGCACTCAGGGTTGATTTCCTTCAGAATGGATAGGTTTGTTCTCCTTGCAGTCCAGGGGACTCTCAAGAGTCTTCTCCAGCACCACAATTCAAAAGCATCAATTCTTCGGCGTGCACATACACACTAACTTTAATATCCTGCTCTGAAAGGTCAGGGAAGAAATTATTTAACAAGAGCTATGTAATAGGCTGCCTTGGGTCCTTTTTAAAGAGAAAGATGAGATAGAAATATTTTAGATCTTGGAGTAGAGAGGAAAATGGTGAACCAAGCGAGGGAATTTGAACTCCAGGTTCTCCTATAAGGGTTGGGATGGTGACATGGCAGACAAGACGACCACTAACACACTTCTTATTTCCAGCTAATGCATATCCTGGGCAAGTACAAAAACTTCCTGCAAGTGGCAATCCGTGACATCACGTAAGTAGCCACATTCTCTTCACTGAACAAAGAGCCCCTCTTCTTTTCTCAACACACACTTGAGGAAAGAAGGCTGAGGGGAGACAGGATAGCACTCAAATACTTGAAAGGCTGCCATATGGAGGAAGGGCAGGATCTCTTCTCGATCTATCCCACGTAAGGACACACAACAATGGGATCAAGTTACAGATAAGGACACGCAACAATGGGATCAAGTTACAGGAAGTCTGATTTCGGCTGAATATCAGGAAATATTTCCTATTTGTTAGAGCCGTACGGCAAGGGAATCAATTATCTTGATAGGTGGTGAGCACTCCCAACACTGGAGACATTCAAGAGAAACTTGCGCTCCCAACACTGGAGGCATTCAAGGGAAACTTAGACAGCCACTTGGCAGATATCCTTTGATTTGTATCCCTGCCTTGAGCAGGGAGTTGGACTCGATGGCCTTACAGGCTCCTTCCAACTTCATGATTCTGTGGTTCCACAGTTGTTAGGACTGCCACTCCCATCAGCCTTCATTGCCGCCTAAGAGTCCATCCACACTGAGCATTTATTCCGCTTCCTTTCGGACGGTCTGTCTGTCCGTCTGTCTCTCTGTCTAATTAATGGGCAGCCGTTCTCCCAATAATGGGATTCAAGGGTGTTTTTTAAAAAATAGAATTAAACATTTTACAGTGTTCAAAAAATAGAATTAAAAATGCAAGAAATTTTAAAAAATTAAACCATAACCGCAGTTAAAACATACTGAATGATTTAAAACTGTAAAAATGAACTTAGTTAAAAAAGAAAAAAAGAAACAGCATTCAGGGACTCTATTATTATTGTGAAAAGCTTGCCTGAGGAGGTGGGTTGGCAATTGTTGGCAGAAAGATAACGGGAAAGGGGCCCAGCCTGATTTCCCAAGGGAGAGCATTCCACATAACCTGGGAGCAGCCACGGAGAAGGCCCCCTCTTGTCTCCCCATCAGCCATGCCTAAGGGCCCAGAAGGCTCATAGAGGGAGATGGGGTCCTTCAAATAGCCTGGATTCAAGCCGTCCTGGTACCGCACCCCAGTGTCCGCACAACACAGGAGTGAAACCAGTGTCAACAGAGTCAAAGTGAATTGCTGGCTCTGGAGACTTTCAGAGTTAGTAATTCACGTTTTATATTATTGGGTGGGGGGACCAGATATTTTGGTATGGGATTGGGGGCTGCTGAAATTGCCTTCTGGGTTATTTTTTTACACCAGGTGATGGTGTATTTTTGTTCTGCTTCGCTCCAGTTTGCTTCAGGGTAGGATCTGCTCATGCGGTCCCCGGGGCTTTGTTGCTCTGGTCTGATCTGTGCCGGGAGCATCCCTTGATGGCTATTTCCTTAGGGCCCTGTTTCTACGAGTCAGTCTAAACCTCTCCATATCCCATGAGTGGATAAAATAAGGAGGAAAGGAATGAGAGAGTGTAGGATGGGGGGGATGATGATGATGATGATGATGATGATGATGATGATGTACCGTCAAGTAAATTCTGATTTACATGGTGGCCCTTTTTTCCAGGTAGAGAATACTCAGAAGTAGTTTACCATTCCCTTCTTCAGTTTCCTGGGACTGTGCAGCTTGCCCAAGGTCACAGGGGCTGGCTCTTTTCTCTGGAGGCCCAGTGGGGAATTGAACTTCCAACCTCTGGCTCTGCAGCCAGAGACCTAAACCACTGAGCTATTGAGGCAGCTGTAGGTGGGGAGTCCAAAAGGGAGGGCAATCAGTCTTGGGAGTGAGATATCCGGGAGCAATTCTGGGTGGGCACGGACAGGTGTTATTGGTGCATCTCAGCACGATCTGTTCAAGTTTCTAACCAAAAAAATACCAAAACATACTCATAAGGACTGTAAACAATACCACCATGTGGATAAAACTCTTTAAGAGGGATGGAAGTTGGACCCCAAAACCCCTTGGAGGGCCACAAGTAAACTAGTTCTGATCTGCGCTTCCCTGAAGAGAAAGGGCTTTGCCTGCTTGCGGAAGGACAGCAAAGATGGGGACCAGCCTGGCCTCCAGTGGGAGGGAGTTCCAGAGTCTGGGGAAGGCCCTCTTCCGTGTCAACCTCCCAACGCACCTGTGAAGGTGGCGGGATCGAGAGAAAGGCCTGTCCTGATGCTCTTAACACTCAGGTAGGCTCATAAAGGGAGACATTGCACTAAAGAAGTAACAATATCAGCTGTCACCTTGCCTTGCAAAAGGACTATTTACCCCCAAACTTTCTTTACTCACAAGAGTAAAATATTGTTAGTCATTACATGATTTCTAAAGCAGATGTGGGCGATTTGTGGCATTAGACGTTGTTGGACTGCATCTCCCAGAATTCCTCACCCTTGGCTATGCTAGCTCGGGCTGGTGGGAGCAGCAGTCCAGAGACCTCTGGAGGTTCACTTGTTCTCCACTCATGATCTCAAGCTCTTGTCTGAAGCGTTGTTTGCTTTCACTGCAGAGGGGGCTCCTTGGTGTGTCGCGGAGATGTGATATTTCAACCCCCGGCTCCGACGAGCAAAGATGTGCTGCAAACCCTTGCTCTCTCGGTTGGGCCAAAGGATTACCTGGATTCCTCGGGCCTTCAGGTGGATCCCCTCTCCTTTACTGTAGCAGGTAATGCTGGTAGGACTTGTCAAATGTCTTTTCAGAAGGAAAGCAGGGTTTGGAAAATTATTCCCCCAAACCAATTACAGCAGGACTGTGGTCCCCTGGGGGGGGTGTGTTGGTTCCAAGCCCCCTGCAGATGCTGAAAAAATGTGGGAGCCTTGAATGCTATATATTGCATGGTGTCTGGCTCCTCCTAGTGACCAGTTATGTTAAATATACCCTGGAAATACATATAAATCTGTATTCCTGGAGTTTTTTATTTAATATTTTCAACCAGCAGATAAGCGAATCAGTGGATGCTGATCCCGTGGATAGGAGTGTCCTACTATACTCACTATTTCAGTTCCAAGGTTCCCAGAAGTTAGTTTTTAAAAGTAACTTTGTATTTCTTGCTTCTCAGAAGTGACTCATTCACACTAAAATGGATTTAGTTACAGTGGTGCCTCGCTAGACAGTTACCCCGCATGACAGTTTTTTCACTAGACATTGGCTTTTTGCGATCACTATAGCGATTCGCAAAGCAGTGATTCCTATGGGGGAATTTCGCTGGACAATGTTTGGTCCCTGCTTCGCAAACCGATTTTCGCTAGACGATTTTGACAACTCCCTCCGCGCTCGCAAACAGGTGTTTTCGGGACTTAAGCTTCGCAAGACAGCAATTTAAACAGCTGATCGGCAGTTCGCAAAGCGGCTTTCCTATGGCTGATCTTTGCTAGACAACGACGATTCTTCCCCATTGGAACACATTAAGCAGGTTTCAATGCATTCCAGTGGGGAAATGCTTTTCGCTAGACAATGATTTCGCTAAACAGCAATTTCAGTGGAACGGATTATCATCGTCTAGCGAGGCACCACTATACTTAGAAAGAAACTGCTTTCTATTCAGCTACATGTATAAGACAACCCTCAGATTGTAGATAATCCATCATTATCATTTTGTAAGGCCATAATCCTATAACAATAAAAATTTAACTGCAGTTCACACTGAAAAAGAGGATAAGAGGTGTCCTCCAATAAGCATGATGTAATGGTGTTGTACCTTAATTGACCTGTAACATCTCCCTTTATCAATCTCTTAGGTGATGGCCTGGATCCTCCCTTCACAAATTTAGGTATACCTAGCTATGGGGTAGCCGTCATCATTTTGTGTGTCCTCGTACTAATTGTTCTTCCCATCCTGGCTTTGCTGGTAAGATAGTCTTGGATAAGTGATACAGAGTATTTCTGCAGTCATTGTCAGCAGAGCCCTAGATCAGAACCATAAGGATAACATTTTAGAGCCGGGTAGCCGTTAAGGATGGGCACAGACTGGTTCAGTGGTTCATGCCGGTATGGCCAGGTGTTTTTAGCTATGGGATAGTGGGAGCCGACTCAGAGGCAGCACCTGGAGCCAGAGAATTGCCTCCAAGTGAGTGTTTGCTGGAGGGATGGGCCGCTGAACTGCAGAACACCTATTAGATGGCTGGACGAACTGGCACAACCACCAAATCGGCAGTTTGTACCTATCACTAGTAACCATCTATTAGAGATGCTGTAGGTGCATCATCCTTCATTAAGCAGCAGTTTGGATAACATGGATGTCAAAAGGCCCCTGATTCTGTAGTCTCTCTAAAGTACATGCATGGATACTGGGCTTTGATTTTTTGGGGGCACCCCAAGAATTTTAGGCACATACTTATAGTATCTCCACGCTGTAAAACTGCAAGCCTATAAAATGAAATGTTGTACCGATGCAACTGGAGTAGCAGTAAAGTGTTGGGACGCTTTCAAATGGACCATTGGGTCTACTCACCCGCTTCATTTTCATCGCTTGAAATCAAATGAATACAGAATTAGTTGAGATTTGTGTCTCAATTTAGTCTTTCAAAATCAGTTTCTCTTGTCTTTAGTAAATCAGTCTCTCTTTAAAAAAAATCTTGAACAATTCCTTAATAAATTAGCTTCTGAGTTCGGTTGTTTCTCAGTGCTGATGTAATGCAGAATCGAGGAAACAAATGCTCCGTATGGGGAATCCTTTATTCGGCAAAAACTCTTCACCAGTGGTCCCCAACCTTGGGTAACCCAGGTGTTCTTGGACTGCAATTCCGAGAAGCCTTCATCATTAGCTGTGCTGGTTGGGATTTATAGGAGCTGCAGTCCAAGAATACCTGGCTTACCCATAGCTGAGAACCCCTGTACATCTTACACCATCATCATAAAACAAAACTATATCTTCCTTCTTACCCATAGCTGAGAAACCCTGTTCATCTACATTATCATCATAAAACAAAACTATATCTTCCTTATGCGCCTGCTACAAACACAAGAAAGCTCAGTAATAACCACTTCTTTCATACAGGATGCCTTTTTTAAAAAAAGCCACAGTAATCCTATGCATTTTAGAAACAGATCCTTAGAATGTTTCCTAGAACAGCTGAGATGAACCACGAAACCCTAGCTATCCCGTTCAAGGGTGAAGTTTGAAGGTAAAATCCTGCCATGCTATGAATCACTCGGGTCATTTAAGTGCCCCTTGATGCCTTGGCATGTCTGCTTTCTCTGTTGAACTTGAAAACCATTCCAGACCGGTGGTTCTCAAGACCTTTGGTCCTCTGGATTCTTGTCTTTTCTTTTTTTCGTTTTCTGTTTTGGATTAAATTCTTAGAAGCCCCAATTAGCCAATAGTCAGAGATTCTAGGAGCTGAGTTCCAAGAGATACTGAGGAGCAAAACTTGAGGGCTGCTTTGCTGTTCGATTACAGTCCGTAGCTGACTTTTTAAAACTCCTAACTTCTCCCAAGCCAAAGATCCTCGGCCGGAAAGACAAGATAATAATTAGCAGAGTGCACGATCCTGAAGCCGGCGTGGAAACATTTGAACTGGATAATCCAGGTTTTCGCTCCGCCGTTGAAGAGGTACATGTGGACTGTCTGAACTCAAATGTGTGAGTGTACTATTAACTCTTAAGAAGGGCTCGCAAGTCTTAGATGAGAAGTCTAGAAATCACAGGGCTGGTGATGGTATCTCAGCGATTGTGTGCTGTGTGTGTTGAGGGAAGCTGTGGCTTTTGGCCAAGGCAAAACCTGGTTTGTGTATTTCAAAGACTGCCATCTGAGCTGATGGGGCTGCTGACCATTGATAATACCTCAGCTTCTTTGCTCAGACATCTAGCTTCTTAGCTTTGTGCAGCTGTCTCTACCAAATAAGCAAGGTGACCGTTTTGATTTAGCTAAGTAAACACAACTGTTGGAATAATGGGGTCTACTTGGTAGTGGTGCAGGACAGAGAGACAACAAAATCCCACATACTTCTGTCTCCTCCTCCTCCTCTATTTATTTATTTATTGCATTTCTACCCCACCCGTCTAGTCAATTGGCTACTCTGGGCGGCTTCCAATATGTATAATAAAACATTATAAACGATAACAACGTTATAAACATCAATAATCAAATGATTCAAGATGGAAAAAAATAAGAAGAAATAAATCAAATAGTAACTGGAGGGAAGGCCTGCCTAAATTGGCTTTTCAATTGGCTTTTAAAAATGCCCAGCGAGGGGGCCGCACAAATCTCAGGAGGAAGATTATTCCAGAGGCGAGGAACCACCGCCGAGAAGGCCCGGTTTCTTGATTTTTCCTTCCGGCCCTCCCTCGGCGTCAGGCTCCTCAGCCTCACCTAGAGGTGACTAGATCAGGTGATAACAGGTAGATTTATTTATTTAGGATACAAGGTAGACTTCCTGATTCCATGCCCAAGGTGACCCACGGTTGTGGGAATCATGTCGCCACGGTCCACAGGCTGTTCTCGTGACCCTTTCCCTCAACTCGTTAAAAAATAACCAACAACGTTAAAAAAGTAAACAATTTCAGCTTCAGGAAGGCTGATTCTCCTTCTCAACAAGGCACAAGTCCTCCTCCACACCTGTTTAAAGGGGGGGGGAAGGTGTATTTGTAGAAAATCAGAAGCGAGACCTCATTCAGTTCTGGTTTTGTTTCCTCTGTTTTTCCTTTTTGCTTTTGGAGACCAGTGACAACGCTCCTGGAGCTTGTCCACCTTGGTGTATCAAATGGAGGCTTTGAGTGGTGTCACATCGTGATGTCTTGATCTTCCAGCCTAAAAATCTGCCCCAGGAGCAGATGGGGTGGCCGTCTTTCCCACTGGGCTTCTCACGAAAACATTCTTCAAGACACGCAAGAAAGGGCTTCTCGTTAATTTTTCTCTCCAGCAGAAAAGCTCTCTAAGCCATTCATTGGGATATCTTCTTTCAAGGGACTTCCCGAGCTGACAATGGTCTGTCTTTAACCCACAGGATGATGACAGACTCTTGCACTCTCCACCATCAGCAGTTCAGCAGAACCACCACCGTTTGCAGTGACGAGGGGATGATGTCCCATTCCATCTGAGTTCTGGGCCCTCGTCTGTCACTTGAACCTTGAAAGGTGCTGGAACTTTTGAGTTGTGAAGGGTGTAGGAAGGCATGGACCGATGAGTTGGTCCATCAGAACTGGTCTTGCAGCAGACCTGGACAATGTGGTGCATTGTTTGTCTGCATCTTGAATAAGACGGGAGGGAAGTGGGGACATCTAAACATTAACAAATGGAAATGGTGTTGCTTTATAAATGCCATAGTGAATAACTGGGCATCTTATTGAATTTGGGAGTAAGTTTTATTATATGGATGGGCAAACTGTTCAGAACGAGAATGCAAGGAGAGAGAGCTGGTTCCTGCTCTGTCAACAGGATAGATAGAACAGGCCCAACCTGACTCGAGATCTTAAAAGTTTATATCTTTGCACTGTCGTCTTGGTGGGGATCCTTGTTGAACAGACCTGAACCCCCAAACCACAGCGCTCTCTTTTTATTACAAGTTTGATCTTTTTAATATGTCTTTAAAACTTTTCTTTCTTCTTTGTGTAGAGTGTAGAAACTTTATGGGTTTTTTTTTTGTTTTCCTGGATCTTGCTAGGGTAAGAACCCGAGATGTGTGGATATGGCGGGGTGGGGAGATAATTCGGATTTCTTACGTTTTAGCTGCTCAGTGTTCTTTTAGAGAATCCGCAGGCCTGAAGTCAAGGAAACATCTGTCCTCAAAGAATTTGATGACATGTTTAGATACATGCCATTTGTAGCAACTTTGTAATATTCATCCCTTTTCTGCTACTTGTTGTGTTGGATCTTGGAATTGCTTGCATCGTCCTAAAGTATAGCTTGGCAGAGGGTTTAGATGTAGACCTTTGACCCAAAGGAGTCCAAGAAGAAATAGAGTATGGTCTTCCTTGTGTCATCAAGGTTGCTCTTGAAGGAAGTTTGTTGTCTCAAATTTTAAGGTTTGAGATGCACTGGATGTTGCATCAAAGTGTACGGAGGAAGCAGGCAAACCAGAATTGTGGAGTGGCAAGGAGTGGCCAAGTTGTATCCTGAGTTCAGGATGAAGGAGTGTGTGTCCCTCCAGATGTTGTTAAAGGCAGCTGTAGCTTCCTCCAGCCCTGCCTTAGCTGCTAAAGGATGGATGGAAATGGTTATTCCAACAGCATCTGGAGTGCCAGACACTCCTCATCTCACACACATCCTTATTTTAACTACAGGCATAGACACGCATGTAAAAGTCTGTAGGAATGGCAAGAGTGCTACAGTTGGCTAAACAGTTTTGCTAGCTTGGTTCTTTTTTTAATCTCACCTGTATTACCCGAGGAGCCTTCCAGAGAGATGCATCACGTTCTGTCCATGTTGCTTTTCAAGGCAGCGCCTTCAGTTCCCCACTAAGAGTTTTAGCACCAGCTTGGCATAGTCCTGGTATAGAGTTCTCCTTCTGGGCCAGTTTGCACAATCAGTTGGCCAACTCTTCTTTTTTCCTTTTTTTAAAAAAATACCAAACAAGTTGAACCTGTCAATTGCACACAATATGCTTCTGGGCCCCCCTCTTCTTCTTTCAGGCTTGTTGCTATGATTTCCAAGCATTGTGTTGTATGAAAATATAGTTCTGAATAAACTGATTTATAATCTTGATTTGAATGGTGCTTTTTTGGGGGCAGTGGGGGAGAACTACACATAAGGGGCAAGTGTGATGGGGCTGGGGCCACAGCTTAGCAGGAGAGCTTGTTCTTTGCATGCAGGAATAATAATAGTAGTCTTAGAACCACAGAGCTGGGAAAGACCCTATGGATCATCAAGTCCAGCCTCTGTCAAAGAGGCACAGTGGGGAATCGAACTCTCAAACTCCCAACCTCTGGCTCCACATCCAGAGACCTAAATCACTGAGCTATACAGCAGTTCAGAACATGAAGCTACTTTCTCGGTTGATAATTCCCAGGAATCTCTCTGGAAGTATGGCATGCTAGCTGGGGAATCTGGGAGTACAGTGGTGCCTTGCTAGACAGTTACCCCGCATGATAGTTTTTTTCGCTAGACATTGACTCTTTGCGATCGCTATAGCGATTCGCAAAGCAGTGATTCCTATGGGGGAATTTTGCTGGACAATGTTTGGTCCCTGCTTCGCAAACTGATTTTCGCTAGACAATGATTTGCTTTTCGCTAGACAATGACTACGCTAGACAGCGATTTCAGTGGAATGGATTATCATCGTCTAGCAAGGCACCACCGTACATTTAAAAAAACTCAGGCATGGGGCTGTACAGAAGATCCTGATATAGTCTCTAGTGTCTTGGAAAGGCTGGCTGGATAGCTCAGTGATTTAAGCATCTGGCCGCAGAACCAGAGGTTGAGTGTTTGATTCCCCCTCGGTGTGCCTCCTGGGAGAAGAGCCGGCCTGCGTGGCCTTGGGCCAACTGCCCAGTCCCAGGGCGCCCCCTAGAGGAAGGCAAGGGCAAAGCACTTCTGAGTAGACTACCTAGAAAACCCTGGAAAGGGTTACCATAAGTCGGAATTGACTTGACGACACAAGGTTATGATGATTATATTGGAAATGGGATGTGGGAAAGACTTCTGCCTAAAGCAGTGGTTCCCAACCTTGGGCCTCCAGGTGTTCTTGGACTACAACTCCCAGAAGCCTTCACCACCACCTCTGCTGGCCAGGATTTCTGGGAGTTGAAGTCCAAGAACATCTGGAGGCCCAAAGTTGGGGACCACTGGGGAAACCAACTCTTGTTTGTTCACAAGCACCGAAGAAGGGCATCTAGGCGCTTCTGCCTAAAGCAGTGGTTCCCAGCCTTGGGCCTCCAGGTGTTCTTGGACTACAACTCCCAGAAGCCTTCACCACCACCTCTGCTGGCCAGGATTTCTGGGAGTTGAAGTCCAAGAACATCTGGAGGCCCAAAGTTGGGGACCACTGGGGAAACCAACTCTTGTTTGTTCACAAGCACCGAAGAAGGGCATCTAGGCCATGTCGATGGTTGTGTTGCAGAAGAATTATCTGATTTGATGCCCTCCAGATATTTTGCAGATTGTTTTATATCACTTAGTGAAGACCATTACTATGGGTAGTTTGACATCATAATCTAGATCCTAGCCCCCCCCTTCTCCACACAACAAATAAAAACAATTTAAAAAGCCCAGCATACAGGTGAAGAAATAAGCAAACAAGACTAAGGAATGGTGACAAAACTCAAGGATGGGGGTGGCAAACTGAACTAACTGAGGGGAAGAATGTTCCTTGAAAAGTTTGGTTTTGAGCAGTTTTTTTTTTTTAAACTCTGGGAGGGAGGAAGCGTGCCAGATCCCCAAGGGGAGTCTGTTCTGAAGTCCTGGGGTCACCCCTGAGAAGGACTGACTCCTCTTTGAGACCTTCCTCACTTCTCTTGGCCACCTGCAAAAAAAAGCAAGGCCTGGAAGGATTATGTAAAATGGGCAGCAGTTCTGTGAGAGAGATGCCCCCACAAATAACGAGGTCCCCAACCATTAAGGGCTTGATACATCAAAACTAACACCTTGAACCTGGCCCAGGTAGAGACCAGCAAAATGATCAAATTTCCTCAATCCAGTGATCAACCTGGCTGTCACATGCTGTACAGGTGTCATTTCTGAGTCCGTTTCAAGGGAAGCCCCCCACATAGAGGCCACTGCAGCAGTCTATCCTGGGAGGGACTACCAGAATTGATTAGAACCATTTGCTTTCAGCCTGGCTTGGCTGCTGAGAGAAATAATGATAAGGAGGCCCATCTATGTCAAGCACACAGAAGGAGAAGATGGAAAAGTAGCAGATGAATCAAACACTGGATATATGTTTGCTTCCCATCTTGTCCGAACACCTTGATGCGGTATGAAGGTGTCAGGGAAGACCGGAAGCAATATCACCAGGAAGCTATTTTTAAAAAATACAGTAGGACCCCCATATCCATGGCAGATTGGTTTGAAGCTCCTCTGCGGATACTGAAAAGCGTGGATAGTAGCAAACACATAGCAAATATGCTTTTAAAGTTTCGTTTATTAACTCCTTCCTTGTACGGCAAGAGGAACTTCCCCCCCCCCACCAGAACATTTCCCTTCTACCAAGTTAGTATGAATCCTGCCACAGATTCTGTGTGTTCCTTTGCTCTGGGTATTCTGAAAATCTGGTTTGGAGTCACGGAATGGATGTGCCAGAGTTTGAAGGCTTGTGGTGATTCCTTTTCATTGACTGCAGGTGACCATGGTTAAGGGAATCAGCTGATCCTGTGGATATGAGCCTCCTACTGTATTTCTGTCCAGCGCAAGGTGGCTTGCAGCTGTGGTTTCCAATCTGAGGTCCCCAGATATTCTTGGACTACAACTCCCAGCAATTCTGACTGACAGAGCTAGTGGTGAAGGCTTCTGGGAGTTTTAGTCCAAGAACATCTGGGGACCCCAGGATTGAGAACCTCAGGCTTATAGCATTAAAAACAAAACTACTGTAAATCTAGATTCCTAGAGCTGAGGTATCAAAGAAGCAGCTCTTCTCTTTAAGAACGAATGGCCACTTCAGAAGAGGATTTATAGTTCCAGTGGTGATAGGGCTGGAAAAAGTCTTGAGATGGAGCTACTGGGCAACAGCAAGAGAGGAACGTGGTCCTAGCAGAGGATCTTTCATAGACGAGGGCAGTGACATGCAAGCTAATTCTGGTTAGGACAGTGCAGAGGAAGCCAATTCTGAATATTTCCAAAATTGAAAATCCTCAACAAGAGATAGTGCTGGAAGATGGGACTGTTAGGGAAAAATACGTACAGTATATATATAGTCAATCAGTTACTGGGAAGACCAAGGTATAAACATTGCTATTAATGAAACAACTGGATTAAAGTGGGAAAAGATGTTAGTTGTTGATGTTCTTTGAAGCAAAAGAAAAGTCTCATGTTGGACACCTGTCATTGGAATACAGAAATATTGCACAAGATAAGCTTCAAATTGTATGACAAGAAATTGAGCATTTAGCACTGTGAAATGTGGGGTGAGCAAGCGAATATGTATATAGCGAGGTGATACAGAGCAAAACAAGTGGGGCACTGTGATTCAAAAATATATATATAGTCAATCAGTTACTGGGAAGACCAAGGTATAAACATTGCTATTAATGAAACAACTGGATTAAAGTGGAAAAAGATGTTAGTTGTTGACGTTCTTTGAAGCAAAAGAAAAGTCTCATGTTGGACACCTGTCATTGGAATACAGAAATATTGCACAAGATAAGCTTCAAATTGTATGACAAGAAATTGAGCATTTAGCACTGTGAAACGTGGGGTGAGCAAGTGAAAATGTATATAAGCGAGGTGATACAGAGCAAAACAAGTGGGGCACTGTGATTCAAACAAGGTCTGACCAAAAGGCTTCATGGAAATCCTGTCAACATAATCATCCGTGAAATCTTGTTTATAAATATGTTTATTGCAAAATACATGCTTCAGGGAACCTGAATGGAGACATGAATGTCACAAGATAGCCAATATATAAATAAAATAGACTTTATCATTGGAAGTTGACGTTCTGCGCTTTCAGCAAAAACAGGATCAGATTTTTTTTTGGATTGTGGTACAGGTCATGAGTGGGGCACTGTGATTCAAACAAGGTCTGACCAAAAGGCTTCATGGAAATCCTGTCAATATAATCATCCGTGAAATCTTGTTTATAAAAATGTTTATTGCAAAATACATGCTTCGGGGAACCTGAATGGAGACATGAATGTCATAAGATAGCCAATATATAAATAAAATAGACTTTATCATTGGAAGTTGATGCTCTGCGCTTTCTGCAAAAACAGGATCAGATTTTTATTTTTTATTTTTTTTTGGATTGTGGTACAGGTCATGGACCATTAGAATAAAGCTGAAAAGGGAGACTAAAACGATAATATTGACCCTTAAAACTAAATTGTTGGGAAATAAAGAAAAACGATGTCTTCAAGAAATTTCTGAATCAAATGTATTTATTTTTGCATTTATAAACTGCTTAGACCTTAAAATGTCAAAGTGCTATGTAATAAAACATTACACAGTAAATAAATTTATATTACACAGGACGCAGCATGCTTCTTGATATAGAGAAGGCTTACCCAAATCAGATGATCAAAGAAAGTGGGTGGGAATCCTCAAAAACTCATTTTAACGGTATCACAAAACTCTTCATAGGAGAGACTGTAAATTGCTATATTTGACCCATCTATGGGATCTATAAACTTCCATGCCTGGCTGGCAGTCAGTTGTCAAGAGCAATGGGCATCACCTCTGGCCAAATTTTTGTCTTAAACCCAAATTTTAATACCACCTTTGCCTGATGAAGAATCCTGGAGGATCTGAACGCCGGCATTGTTTGTAAGCTTTTTAAATGATGCAACTATAGTACTACCCAAGCAAGAAATCTTTTGTAACCATCTCATCCAAAAAATAATAATAAAAATAATCTACTTCTCCCAGAAAACTTTACTACAAAAAGAGCCAGGTCCTGCTATAACTGATCTTCTCTCCTGATTAAGGCAACAGGATGAAGGCAATAAACTCTGTAACTAACAGAATCTCTCCACCTTCAATTGATAAGGAAATCTCAGACTGGGGATTTTCAAAAGGAGAGTGATGTTATCTGAACTAATCTATGGGTCCTGGCAGTAGAAATACATCTGTTATTCTTTAAGGTCCCCTAAGAATCTTTGTTGTTTCCCCAGAAAAGTTGTAAAACTGACATCTTGAGTCCCACTAAAGTCATAAAACAAAAGGGAGGTGTAACCGGGAAACTGATAACAACCCCACATACCCAAGACCTCTATGGGAGGAGACTTATTTTGGTAAAATGGTTCCCTTCAGGTTAAAAAAAATTAACCCTGCAACAACCAGATCTTTATTACATCTTGAATAGTGAAAATGTTTCAAGGACAGTATGGTTACTAGATAAGGTAAAATACCAAATCCACAGCCTTATTTATGAAGAGCTCTGGAGAACTGGAAAGCTTGCACTGGAAATGGGATAGGTTAGGATAAGGGCACTAACAGTCCATAGATCATGGCTTATTCTCTCTCTAGACCACTAGCCCTCTGGTTTGGGGATGATGGTAGTTGTAGTCCAGTGTATGTGGAGGGTAACAGATTGGGAAAACCTGGTTCGCATATTCTGTGCTGAGCTTCCCAAGAGACAGACAGTCGCTCAGGCTTGGAGCAGAGGGCCATATCCTGATGTCAGGAGGTCCTAAGTACTTTCAGGACTAAGTCCTGGGGCTGCTCTGCTGGCTTTCTCTCCATCTGAGTCCCATTGCAGAAGATGGAGTCAGCTGTGAAGGATTTGTGCCCTGCTGCATATAAAGTTCCCCAAAGGCTCTTTCTGGCTTCACTGGCTTGGTTGATCCAGCTATCAACATGGTCTTCCTCAGCAGTCCTTGTTATGTTCTCTTGTGCTTTGTCATTGGTGTGGTGGATGCATATAGCCCTTGGGATTATTCAAGGGATGACACGGCTTGGAGATTTGCACCCAGAACGATTCCCTCAGATAGCCAGGTCTATGAGCATTCCTCATCTCTGCTTTCTTCCTGGGCTTTTGTGGATGTCTCTCAGCCTCGGTCTTTGTCAGGCTTGAACCCTGTTCACGCACAGTGTGGGGAGGCTCAGGTGGTGGTGACCGTCAAGAGGGACCTCTTTGGCACTGGAAGACTTATCCAAGTGGCTGACCTGACCTTGGGCTCTCCAGGCTGCCAACCTACCTCTTACGAGGCTGCAGAAGAAACTGTGATTTTTGCCGTTGGTCTCCATGAATGTGGCAGCACCTTACAGGTAAGGTGGCCTTATGAGCCTGGTGGCATCGGGCTTTCTTTTCTTTCCAGACCTTGGCAAAGCTCGAGTGATGATTCCCATGATCCTGTAGCCACTGGATAAGGAGGCTTGGGGATGCTGGGGGTTGTAATGCCAAAAAAAAAAAACTTCTAAGGTTTTTTTTGGGGGGGTGTCTCTTTTTATTTTTTCTCCTATTTGTAAAGCAGCATGTACCTTCTCCTGATTCAAGCCTCCTGGTATATATACAGAGGTGCTGCTCATGAATATCTCAAAATGAGAGGAAACAGGGATGGTTTTAGTTCTGCTAATTCTATAAACATATCCTTGGGTTTTTATTAAAAGGGAATTGAGAAAGTCATACATTACGGCTTTAGTTAGGGGATGAGAGTGAGTTTCTTACTCAAGAGAAGTGCTCTTGTGTTGGGCTGGAACTTGAGATATTCACCTTTTAGCATATCTTGCAGTGAGCTAACAGGCTTGTAGGATGACCTTGGGGGAGGTCACAATTTCATGGCCTGGCCTACCTCACAGGGCTGGTGTGGGGATAAAGTGGGGTGCAGGGAGAACAGTGTCAGCTGCCTGCAAGATCTTAGAAGAAAGATTGCTAGGAATGGAATGGAATGGAATGGAATGGAAGGCTAGAAATGGAATGAATGAATGAATGAATGAATGAATGAATCTCCTAGTTCTAAGCCTACACTGAGCTATTAATGTAATGGTTCCCAACCTTGGATCCCCAGATGTTCTTGGACCACAACTCCCAGAAATCCTGGCCAGCAGAACTAGTGGTGAAGATTTTTGGGAATTTTAGTCAAAAAACACCCAGGGTCCCAATGCAGGGACCTACTGTTTAAGTACAGTATACCTGACAGTGTTGTGTTCCTGTAAGGACTGCCACGTTTCTTACGGCATCCAACGCTCTGTGCTTCAGATCCAGGAACTGTTGTTCTCTGGTGTGGGAATATGACTGAAAGGACGAACCGTTGAGGGCAAACAGAAAAAGCAGCATGTATCATTCACAAATAGCAGGTGTTGGAAAGATGACTTTTGGGGACACCATTTCCCAAAATCCTACAGCCAATGGGGCCAGTGCTGGTGGAGAGATTCTGGGAATTATGGTCCAAAAGGTAATTTTTCTGAACTCTGTAAAGGTACATGACCAGCTCAGATCTGTCCCACAGAACCCTCGGTTGCCTTTGCAGGAATGGACTGACATGACTGCCCCTTTGGAAGTGAAGAACTAGGGTTGTCTTTGGAGTGTTGAACTGTTACTGTGATTGTTACACGTTCTCAAGCCAATTCTAATTACCTGTAATCCTGTCAATTACAGGGATCTCCAAAGGCCCCTGGAAGAGCGGTGCCCTCTTTCAGTTCTGAAGGCCAAATTCAGTTTAGGAGAACATCTCTGTCTCAGCATTGGCTAGGCCTAATCTAGAGTACTGTTCTGGACACCACACTTTAAGAAGCATACCAACAAACAGGAGCAAATTCAGAGGAGAACAACAAGGATGATGGGGGGGACTGGAAACCAAACCCTAGGAGGAAGGACTGGAAGAACTGGATACGTTTAGCCTTGAGGAAAAAAGATTGAGGGGAAATATGATAGCACTTTCAAATACTTGAAAGGTAGTCCTACAGAGGAAGGACAGGATCTTTTCTCCATCACCCCAAGGTACAGGATGTATAACAATGGGCTCAAGTTATAGGAAGCCAGATTTCAGTTGAATATCAGGAAAAAAAAACTGTTAGAGCAGTACGACAATGGAAACCGGTTACCTTGGGAGGTGGTAGCCCCTCCAATCCAGGAAGCATTCGAGAGAAAAATGGACCATCGGATCTGCTTTGATGTGGATTCCTGCTTTGAGCAGGAGGTTGGACTTGATAGCCTTATAGGCCCCTTCCAACTCAATAATTCTGTGATTCCATCTCTCTCTGTGTGTACTCGCATGCGGAGACGAAAGAGATGGGATCAAAAAAGAGTCCCAGCATCTTTTAGCTTAAAGGTCTTTCTACGTTAGCAGAAAGCTATTTATTTAGCTTGTTGTTGTTTAGTCATTAAGTCGTGCCCACCTCTTCATGACCCCATGGACCAGAGCACACCAGGCCCTCCTATCTTCCACCGCCTCCCGGAGTTGGGTCAAATTCATGTTGGTCGCTTCAATGACACTGTCCAGCCATCTTGTCCTCTGTCGTCCCTTTCTCTTCTTCCCTTCACAGTTTCCTAACATCAGGGTCTTTTATTTATTTTTATTTATTTAGCTAGCTTTGGTTATATACCATCTGATTAGTGCTAGTCGCTATTCTGGGGCAGTGAGCAGTCAAAACCAAAGCAGATACTGTAATATGACAATAACCACAAGAAACAGATGCAGTCATTTCACCTCCAACTTCTTTGACACACCCCTTAACACGCTGAAGGTGAAACTGAAGCTGAAAGCAATGCCTTCTGGAGGCTGGATTCCATTACAAGCCTCGCCTCCTAGCTGGGTCACCCAACAAGGAATGGTTACAGCCAAGGCAACGGACGAAGACCCTCCTGTTTTAGAATGGAGCAAACCATGGCAATCATTCTTTGTTCCCAGATTGGTGTAATGAGGATGAGAAGATAGCCATCTGGGGGGGGGGGGGGCATCCAGAGGGCCAGATGGCTGGGACCTCAGAATGGTCCAATTTGGCACGGTTCTTCTCTTTTCAGATGACTCCCGATTCGTTGGTCTACAGCGTAACCCTGTATTACCGTCCCAGTCTTGGCAGCCACCCCGTTATTGTCAGGACCAGCCCAGCTGAAGTTCCAATCGAATGCCACTATCCGAGGTGAGGATCGCTTCTCCCTTCCTCCCTCATTCCTGGTCTGCAGTGGCTCCTCTCTGGACCTTGTTTGGCAGCGGTGGTTTCTCTTTCAGGAAAGACAACGTGAGCAGCAAAGCCATCAGGCCCACGTGGATTCCATTCAGCTCCACCATTTCCTCACAACAGAGGCTGGCCTTCTCTCTGCGCTTGATGAACGGTAGGGAGTTTGCCAATTCCAAAGATCAAATGTGGTAGGGAACTTTTTCCCCCTCTATCTGGGCAAAGAATATCTAGTGATGTCTCTTCCCAGATGCAAGAGGACGGAGATCTGCACCAGGGTAGCATGCACTGGTGACTACTAGTGCTGACCTACTTTGGGCACATCATGAGAAGTCAGGATTCTCTGGAACAGACAATAATGCTGAGAAAAGTGGAAAGCAGGAAAAGAGGAAGCCCAAATACGAGAGGGATTGACTCTAAAGGAAACCATAGACCTACGTTTGTAAGAGCTGAGCAGGGCTATTGAAGATAAGACGTTTTGCAGATCTCTCACTCCTAGGTTCACCTTAGGTTGGAGCTGACTTTCCTGCATGTAACAACAAAAACAACAGGATTTAAGCAGAAACATGTTCCCTCTGGTGACCAGCGTGCCTACCGGATCAGTCTATTGGCTAGGTTCTAGCCTGGTGGATGGGGAGAGAATTTCTAGAGGCCTTAGGCTGCAAACTCCAATGCCTAGACTTGAGACCACCTCTATGATGCTTAACCCCAGTTACTTTTCATACAAACATGAGAGGTTTAAGGGAACTGGCTGGGTAGCTCAGTGGTTTAAGTATCTGGCTGCAGAGCCAGAAGTTATGAGTTTGATTCCCCCACGGTGCCTCCTGGGAGAGGAGCCAGCCTGGGTAGCCTTGGGCCAGCTGCACAGTCCCAGGGTGCCCCCTAGAGGAAGGGAATGGTAAACCACTTTTGTGTATTCTCTACCTAGAAAACCCTGGAAAGGGTTGCCATAAGTCAGAATTGACTTAAGGGCAAACAATAACGATTATTTAAACTGGAAAAAAGCCCCCTAGTGGCCAAAATACTTTACGAAAATGAAAATAAACGGGTCCCCCCCCCCCAAGAGATAGGTAAAAATGGCCTCTGTGTTCCCTAGAGCAGTGGTCCAGTAATGATTATTTAAACTGGAAAAAGCCCCCTAGAGGCCAAAATACTTTACAAAATTGAAAATAAGCGGTGCCCCCTCCCCCAAAGATGTAGGCAAAGATGGCCTCTGTGTTCCCTAGAGCAGTGGTCCCCAACCTTGGGCTTCCAGATGTTCTTGGACTTCAACTCCCAGAAATCATGGCCAGCAGAGATGCTGGGGTGAAGGCTTCTGGGAGTTGTAGTCCACAAACATCTGGAAGCCCAAGGTTGGGGACCACTGATCTTGCAGAGCTGGAAGGGACCCTGCGGGTCATCAAGTCCTGCCCCTATGAAGGAGGCACAGCAGGGAATCAAACTCCCTTGTAGAGCTGGAAGGCACCCTATGGGTCATCGAGTCCTGCCCCTATGAAGGAGGCACAGTAGGGAATCAAACTCCCAACCTCTGGCTCCTCAGTCAGATGCTTAAAACATGGAGCTAACCATCAGTTAGCAGCTCTCCAGGTTGTCTTGGTCTCTCCTGATTAGCCGATCTCGATGGCTAAAGGTTCTCCATCTCAGGCTGAATAGAACTTTCTTCTACTGGCAATACTGATGTACTCCATTCAGAGGTACAGTGGTACCTCGCATTACGACATTAAGATACTGATGTACTGCATTCAGAGGTACAGTGGTGCCTCGCATTACGACATTAATTTGTTCCAGTGAAATCGCTGTAGAATGAAAACGTCGCAATACGAAATAAAAAAGCCCATAGAAACACATTAAAACTCGATTAATGTGTTCCTATGGGCTTGAAATTCACCGTCCAGTGAAGATCCTCCATAGCACGGCCATTTTCGCTGCCCGTGCAGCGAGGAATCTGTCCCAGAAAAGAGCGGGGAATGATTTTTTTTAGCCATTTTGAAACCGCCAATCAGCTGGCTGAAAATTGTCATTTTGTGAGAATTGGTTCCCGAAGCAGGGAACTGATCATCGCAAAGCGAAATTCCCCCATTGAAACCATTGTAAAGCAATTGCTTTGCGATTGCAAAAAGTTCGTCGTAATGTGATTTTGTCGTTAAACAGGGCACTCGTCTTACGAGGCACCACTGTACTTTTATTAAAACTTGTCTTCCAGAGGACTGGAGCACTGAAAGCACCTCTAACAGATATCAGCTGGGGGAGGCCATGCACATCCAGGCTGATGTGAAGGCTGAGAACCATGTGGAACTGCGGCTCTTCGTTGACAACTGTGTGGCCACCTTGAGTCCAGATGGAACCTCTTCTCCTAGATATGTGGTTGTCGATCACCACGGGTACGCTCTTCTTCTATAGGGTGTTCTGAATTGCATCTACTTCTGTAGCTGCCAAACCATTGTGCAATAGCGCTAACCTTATATTGCCTCTAGATGCCTTATGGATGGACGATCGGATGATTCCAGCTCGGCCTTTGTATCTCCAAGATCCAGACCAGATTCTCTCCAGTTTACTGTTGATGCCTTCAGGTTTGCAGGAGACATTGGAGACATGGTGAGAGGCTAGTTCAACCAGGCAAGGGCAACTTGTGATTCTCTAGACCAACCTCGGGTGCCCAGATGGTGTTGGGCTGCAGCTCCTAGAAGCCTTCACCACCAGCTGCTCTGGCCAGTATTTCGGGGGTTTAGTCCAAGAACATATTAGGACTCAAGGTCATGAGGCTCTGTACTAGTAGCTCAGTGCAAGCATAAACTGAAACGGGCTGTACTTGCAAGAGGCACAGTAGGGAATCAAACTCCCAACCTCTGGCTCTGCAGTTAGGCACCCAGACTACTGAGCAATCCAGCTGTTTTGTTGAGGGCCAGCACCAATAATGACATTGTAGTTTGGGAAACCCGGTTTTATCCTCATCCGTTCTCTAATTGTGTGCATTGCATATGTATCTTAAACCCCCAAAGATTTTATGCGATGCAGTTAACAAAGTGACTGGAATTGAGGAAAGCTCGTCCTACAATAAATGTAAGTCTTAAACATGCTACTTGACCTTGTTTTGATGCAAGAAGCTGTGTTTGCAATGCCTTTGGTAATAAATAGTACAACACAAGCCACACAAGCCAGCTAAACATGGAAGGGTATGAAGCAACCTATCTGTAGACCCTGGCCAACCCACCCTATCTTAAACTGATTTCTTGGCAATGATGGCTTTTCCTCCACTGTTTTTCTGCCCCTTCTAGATCTACATTACCTGCCACTTGAAAGTCACAGCTGCCGATCAACCTCTGGATCCTCTGAACAAGGCTTGTTCTTTCAGTAAGGCAGGGAGCAGGTAAGTAGAGCAGATGAACTACGCAGGGAAGAACAAGTGAGAATTACAGCGGGGAGGATGGCAAGGGGAACCAGCCATTGAAGAAGCGATTTGGTTTATGTCGGCATTCCCCACCTTGTTCACTGCAGTTGGGCTCCAGTGGAAGGTTCTGTTGACATCTGTAGCTGTTGTGAGGCTGGAAACTGTGAGTCACCTGGAAGACCTGATGCTTTTGGGAGAGGATCAAGAGGACGATTCCAGAGAGAGGCCGCCTCTTCACGTGGTAAATGTTCCTTTCCTTTTTCCTTGATTAAACCAAAGAAGGGTTAGCCCAGTTGAGAATCATTCTGGTTTTGCTTATTGTACAGATGGCCCTTCAGGAGAAGAAGCGGAGGCTGACGTTTCAATAGGACCTGTCATTCTAAGTGTCCAAAAGACTTCAGTGCATCAACCTCAAGATGAAAGAAGAATGGGGCAAAGTAAGTTTGGTTGGAAGAGCAGCTGCTGTCCAGCATAGTAAAGCTAGAGGAATGGTTCTCAACCTTGCCAGGTGTTCTTGGACTACAATTCCAAGAAGCTTTCACCACCAGCTGTGCTGGATGGGGTTTCTGGGAGTTGTAGTCCAAGAACACCTGGGTTACCCAAGGCTGGGAACCAATGAGCTAAAGGAACAAAAGAAGTACACTTCATCCAGCCATAACAGTATTGCCCAACACAAACTGGCAGTGATTCATCAGAGTACAGTGGTGCCTCACACTGAGACGTTAATTCGTTCCAGCGAAATCGTTACTGAACGAAAATGTCGCAATACGAAATAAAAAAGCCCATAGAAACGCATTAAAACGTGATTAATGAATTCCTATGGGCTTAAAACTCACCATTCAGCGAAGATCCTCCATAACACGGCCATTTCTGGTGCCTCTTAAGCGAGGAATCCGTCCCAGAAAACAGCGGGCGGCCATGTTTTTTCCCTGGTGGTCATTTTGACACCGCTGATCAGCTGTGCGAAAATGGTCGTTTTGCGATCGGTCATCGCAAAGCGAAAATACCCCATAGGGAACATTGCAAAATCTTCATCGCAAAGCGATTTCGTCACTAAACGTAGTGATTGCTATGTGAGGCCCCACTGTATATTGAGATTCTTTGCCTAATGTTACTTGGCAGTCCCAGAGATTAAAACTGGGGCTTCTGCATGGTGTTCTACCTGTGAGTTAAGGTCCTAATTCAGTTCCTGCAATTCCTGTGTAAGGCTGGAAGAGACCTTTGCTGGAGATCCTGGGGGTGCAATAAGAATACGAAAAGATTGAAAGAGGGTGGCCTGATCTATGGTGACTTCCAGTGTTCTGTGTCATCACTCTAGTAGATGAATGAATGGTCTGGCTTGATATGAAGAAGCTGGATCTTGTAAGATAGTTACACCTTCTATTTTACACAAGTCAAGAGCTCAGAAAAGCTACTTCTTGCACAACATCTTCCAGATCCCTCAATCGGCATTACCAGTGACCGTGTTGGCTGGTGTTTTAGAAGCTATAGTCCAAAACAGGAATGTTTCTGAGCTGTGGATAGGATCGTTAAATGAAGTCAGTAGGTTTGCTCTGTCTTTGCAAAAGAAACTGCAGGCCCACATGGGCTTGGGTTCAAAGGACAGGAGCCTGCAACGTTGAAGATCACAGAAAAGGAAAAGATGGGGCTCTCAGCCGTCTTATGTCTCCGGCATTTGATGGCTGAAGTTTCACCCAGGAGAACCACATCTGAATTTAGAACTCTCTGTGAGGAACTTCTTCAATGAGAAGCTGTTGCTTCTGGACCAGCCATTCGGCTCTTCCATGGAGCAGAAACTTGGAAACCTCAAAGCCATTGTGGCCGAACACTTGTTTTGTATGCCCAAGGTCCACTGTCCAGTATCACCAGGTAGACTGGGAGAGATCCTAGTCTGCAGCCACATACAGGAGCTGCTGATTCGTGGAGACAACACTGGAGCTGGGTGTAATGGGACAATGTTTTGACCTCTATGAAAGGCAGAATCCAGTACCCCAGGCTGTTACTGGAGAGACCAAAAAACCTAGCTCTATTGAAAGTCTGCTTGGAGAGGGGGCAACAATTGTCTGCAATAAAACAGGAGCTTTAGTTGATGGATTACATATAAGGCTCTACAGATGGTGGAAGGATATGCT